CAAGGCCCGAGCGCTTGGGCCTTTTGCCGGCCTTCAGCGGGCATTGACCGGGCTCTACGAACACAGCAGCCGCCGAGACTTCAAGCTTGGAAAAACAGCCGAGCAAAAAGGATGTCCAAGTGCGCTGCAAACTTGACAGCGTTGTATGGAGGGTGCACATGATTTTCAATCCTTATCTCAGAAACGCAAGGGGCAAAAACACTCAGGGAGGCGACGGGGTGGCACCTTGTGTTGTCACTTTAAAAATCAAAAATAAAAAGCTGCTGTTTTCTTCCCAGAGTGATTTACCTTTGATCTCGGCGTGTGGCAGTAAAGTGCATTTAGGTATAATTAAAAGGCCGAAAAGGGACATTAAGAAGGTTTTATGTCCTGAGCACATGATGTTGCTGGCGCGTTTGGCAGCTTTCTGAAACATTGCTTGGACTATTTAAGCAGAACAATTAGCATCGTGCTCGGCTGCCCGCACGTCTGGGCTCGGAAGCTTTTAGCTGCAAACTTGAAAACAAGCTGCTCCCCTTGGAGTTAAAAAGGGGATGAGGCTGCTGCTTGCTTGCGGCGAGCCTGGCTCAGGAGCCCGCTGATCAATAGGAGTGTGCTGGCGTCTTTGGGAGGCGACTGAGGTGGGCAAGGAGAGTCTGAATGATCTTCTCGGCCATTAACAGTCCCCCAGGTAACGAGTAATGGAAACATTGCTCAGGTAAAAGTATTGCCCTGGCAGTGGCACTCACAGAGATGCCCACGGCGAGATAAGCATGCAGGCGGCGCAGCTGCTACCTCGGGGAGCCCTAATGCAGTGCGTGTGCTCCCACGGCTAAAGAGGGGACGCGTTCGTGCCCCAGGCCACTGCCTCTGTCATTGCAAAGACCCGCTCTGCATCGGCTCTTTGCCGGGAGCTCCGCTGCCAGCGCCTCTCATCTGCAAAAGCCTACGCTGTGCAAGGCCGTGCGGGGCGGGGAACCAAAGCCGGAGCTCCGGCCTCTGCATGGGCAGCTGGGTGGTGGGGGAACGCAGGCAGGACACGAGGGCGCTGCTTTCATGCTGCCCCACAGGGGGCAGCAGCCGCCGCCAAAGCAGCTGCCCGGCTCCCGGGACCCTCCCTCTCCTTCTGCTCTGCCTATTAAGATGGGCATTTAATGATCATGGGTGTAATGGCCGTATTGACAGACCGGTCACCGCCAGCCCTTCCTCCGAGCGAGGATGGATGAGAGTGAAAAAGCCATGATGTATTTAAGGCACAACCGCAAAAATGAAGTCCTCTCCGGACCGCGCATCCCCGCAGGAAGGCTCCGGGACTGCACGTTTCTTCCAAGACGCAAGAGGACCACCTAGCGGCGCTGGCGGGGATTTTCCTGCTCTCTGACCAGCTTAAAACCCCGGTCACTTCCAATGCATGGTGCTGCATTGCGTGGCTCTGAAGCAGCTGCTCCACCCTGCAGGGAATATTGGAAAAGAGATTTTTGTGTCTCAAATGCCAGACATGACACTAACATCACGCAGATTGGCAAAGCCTTCCATTAAGCCCCTGACAGTCCTTTCCCTTCCCGGGGATTGATAAGGGACCTGTTGGAACAGTTTTAAGGTCCAGTAAAAGAAATGGCCCAATATTAGGCAGGGAGAAAGGCAGGAAAGCACTGGGGAAGGGAGCTCAGAGGGCTTTCATTAGAAATTAGTAACATGCGTTTTTTATGCATTTTTTTTATGCAACAGAGGGCCCAGTTGCTGGTGGCAGTAATATCCCTGTCCCCCATCAGTCCAGCTAATAGAAAGGGATGACCTAGTTCCTTTTAACTCCTTTTCCAATGAATTCAAGCCAGGTTCAGAAATCAGAAGGCACTGAGCCTTGCCAGCATTTAACTGTTTCAGCAGCTCACAAGGCTGATGGGTTAGCATCTCTTGAATGCCTGCTTTTAGTACCGTCTCAGTTCCCAATAAACAAAGAACTGGCCTCTTTTCATTATTGTTTCTTAATTTTAAAAAAGCCCAAGAGTTTCCTTTTTTTTCTGCAGGAGCACTGACTTGTAAAAGCAGGTTAGGGAAGCAGGCAGGTATTTGGAGACAGTAACCTCCCCCAGGGACTCTGACCTGCAAACCCTGACCTAGGACCCACTTCCCTTCCTCTCAGCTCAACCCACACCCTGCCCAATTAAATCACATCTTCAAGAGAATGGTCTTCTAGCCCTTCTTCCTCCAGGTCTTTAGAGGCAGCCACTGCTCTCCCATTTCCAGCCTTCAAAGCATGGTCAGGCTTCCCCAGCCCAAACGAATGTTTTGCACAGTCTCCATTATGCCTGCACCCCCACAGCCTACAGCAGCGGGACAACAAGGAATACTCCAGGCCTGAAGAACTGGGGCAAAAATGTATCCTAGTGGATTGTGGAAGATAGTAAGTCCTCACTTTCCAGTGACCTGAAAGGGAGCAGTCCAGCCAGCCATCAGGGGCTATCTGGCCGAGACGATTCAAAATAAGCGGTAGTGGGAACCCACCACTTGAGAAAGGAAGCTCACTCAGTTATTTTTAACTGTTCTTGCTATTGCCGGGGGAGTGGGATACAGAACTGGGGGGGTCAGAGTGAAATCATCACTCCTCAGTGTAGGCCAGAAGGACAGTGGTGGTATTAGAGACTTTGCTTCCTATTTTCCAGCCTATGGAAGGAAATGTTAGGAGGAGTAAGGGAGAGAGCATGAAATCCTTGTTCCTCCTTCTTTGATCGCCTGGGAGGACCTTGGAGTCATTACTGAGGCTGGAGGGAGAAAGAGGAGGAATTGGGGAAGGCAGGAGATAGAATGAGTCTGGACCTGGTTACATATTCAATACTGTGTTTCACAAAATAATTCTGATCACTTGAACTGTGCCATGTTTGAAACCTGACTGTAGGACTATAAACAATGGTAATTAGAAACAGGGGGAGGCATTTATGGGGTACTGCAGGGATCTGGGATAGGTCTGCTCTCATATAATACCTTCTTCATAACCTGGAAGAAGGAGTAAACTGCACATTAATAAATTTGGCAGATGATGCAGTAGTGGGAGGTGTTGTGAACACCAGTGAGCACAGAACATTACCACAAAAAGGGCCTAGAGAAATTAGAAACATGGGCAGGAAATTACAAGATGAGACATCTTGGACAAATGCAAGCTTGTACGTCTGTGAAGAAAACTACAACAGGGCTCTACAGTGGGAAGGAGATCCCTGGAAAGCAAGAGCGTGAAGAGAAACTACAGACACACTCCTACAAGCCCTTTGGGCACCACACTCTTGTCAAAGCCAAAGGGAGTCCTGTACAAGGAGATTTTGGAGGATCAGGCCCATAGGTTCAATGAATGGACAGCAAATCAGACATGCCACTTTGCTGTGCATTAAGGCAGCAAGGAAACAAACACCCTGGTGCATTTTTAAATCAAAATGCTTTGCCAGGTGGAGTAAAGAGGCCAGAGTTTATATATAGTTCAGGTGGCCACACCTGAAATACTGAGTTCAGTCTGGGGACCCTTGTTATCAACAAGGTATTGACAAATTGAAGGCAGTTCAAGAAGAAGGAACAAAATGGAAAAAGGCTTAGAGGAGGAAAGAGTTAAAGATTTAAATAGATCTGTGGCTTGCCTAGGAGATGTCCAAGAGGAGACAAAATAAAAGCATTGAACAGATGGTGGGTATGAACTCCAAGGAGGGAGGGAAATTATTTGGTACAGTATGATGAACCATAACTAGGAGGATAACACAGTATCAAATTACATTAATGGAAATGGAAAAATTGAATATCAAGGAAAAAAATCTCTAGACAGTGACAACTGAGACCATGGAGCAGTGTCCCACGGGGGAATAACGGAAGTACCATTGTTTAGGATATTTCATTCCAGATAGGATAAACC